TATTTATATATTATTATTATTATTGTTATTATTTATATATATTATTAATTTATATATATATTATTATTATTATTATTATTATTATTTATATATTATTATTATTTATATATATATAATAACAACAAGTTTATGATAATAATTTTAAATCTAAGAACAGTATATTGGCTTTCTTAAGCCAACATTATTATAAAAGATGCCCTGACATTATCATTTATATTTACTGTGTTAGTTTAATGATACAAAATAAAATCTAGAAAAAAAATATTAAATACATAAAACTAAATATTATTATTATATTATTATGTATAGTTGTATCGTCTTTTTGTTTATTTTATATTATATAATATAGAAGAAGGGAATGACTCTGGACAGTTCAAACCTGCGGCACTTTTTTTACGTGCTTTATGCGCATGCGTGCTGAAGTGCGCGTGACTTGTTCTTCAGAATGCTACAACTGTGGAGTTGAGAAGAAAATAAATGAACAGTTTAATCGAAACCATGCACTTTCCTCAGTGCGTGTTGAACCAATAAAGTAAGTCAAGTCGTTTAGTTTATGAGGCTAAAAAAAGAAATAACGCTAAACGAGATCAATTGCTTGTAACTGTTTTTATTTCCGCTAGCATGCTTGCTAAATGAGCTGAGTCTGCACAGTGCATCATTGTAAGATGTGTTCCGACACGGTTTTACATTAGAAAATGTCAGTAAAATAACCGTTTAGAAGATGCATTGTTTATGTATATTAAAGGTCTGAATAAAACTCGATAACTCATGGAATGACAGCGTAATTCCCAGGTAAAGCAACAGAAGCCTTTAAACCACAGGAGATCAGGAACATGATGTACTCATGAACCAAACAGCAAGCACGATTACAAATTCCATCTTACTGGCTGTACAGTTCATTTCAACATTGTTTAAATGTAATTTGTAGTTCATAAAAAGCAATACATGTTTGTTTCTTAATTCTGAGGTCATGTCCTGTAATAGAGCAAACTAAAGACATGTTCTTCTTGTTTTATGTGCAGTAATGCTGTAGAAACACTCATCCACTATGCTGAGTCGCCTTCAGGAGCTCAAGAAGGAAGAGGAGACTCTTCTGAAAATAAAAGTCATGCTGCAAGATCAGCTCAACAGACTTAAGGTAAGAACAATCGTGTAAAAATGTCATTGTGGTCTCTGTGCATAAAACTGATCTCTGTATTTGTTTATGTTCATCAGTTTGAGGAAGGGACCCTGAGGTCAATGATAAATGCACAGTCTGAAGAAAGCCCAAATGAAGCCCCTGCCCCTGAGGTAAATAAACAAAAGGACAAAACCAAAAAAAATTTTCTTCTTCCATTATTCTGAACTGGTGATTTACATTAAAGGAGTGGTACACTTAATAATATTTTATAATAATAAAAGTAACAGTAAGTATAATAATATTTTGTGCTCCGATTTTCTTTTAACCTATTATTTTTGTTGAACATTTTTTCATGAAACATTAGGCAGAATTTCTAAATTTGCCTTTCATACGACATATGTGAATAGTTATTTATACTGCAAATCTCCATAATGGGAAAAAAGCATCATAAATTCACATTTGTGGTCAATGCCTTTAAACTTGCTGCATCGTTATTGGTCACATGACACAATCAGGTCAGAACAACATGAGATTAAATTATGATAAAGTTTTCAGGTTACACTACCATTCGAGACTTTGGGATCAGTTTTTTTTTATATGAAAGAAATTAATGTTTTTATTCGGCAAGGAGACAATCAATTGATCAAAAGTGACATTAAAGACATTTATAATGTTAGAAAAATATTCTATTTCAAATACATGCTATTCTTTTGAAGTTCTATTCATCAAAGAATCCTTAAAAAATGTATCATGGTTTCCACAAAAATATGAAGCTATTTTCAACATGATTTATAATATGACAAGTTTCTAGAGCACCAAATCAGCATATTAGGATCATGTGACATTGAAGAGTGGAATAATGGCTGCTAACAATTCAGCTTTGCCACCACAGGAATAAATTACATTTTATAAAAATAGAAAACAGTTATTTTAAATGACAATAATATTTCGCAATATTACTGTTTTTACTGTATTTTTAATGAAATAAATGAAGCCTGGGTGAGCATAAGAGACTTTCTTCAGAATTATTAAAGCTATTCTTTTAAAAAACAATTTAAGTTAAGACAATTAAGATGTTTCTCTTGACAAATTATGGTGTTTATATTTGTTGTGCGCAGGTGGAAGTCAACCTAGATGATGAGACTGAGATCAACCAGACCAAACTAGTATTAGGTGCTCAAACAGACTATGACATGGAAGAAGAAGAGGAGGAGGAAGAGGATGATGACGAGGATGATGACGCAGACGATGACCTCGATATGGTGCTAGAAGATGAGGAAGATGAAGATGACTACTGACTGTGCCTGCAAAGACGGCGTTATCATTTACTCCTGTGTTTAGGTGTGTAGTCTGCACATTTGGCATGCTGATAGAGACTACATCAGTCTCTCTGTCTTAGATTGGTGTTGCTTTAGATAAACTGTTGGTTCACCCATCTATAAAATCCTCCAAAAGTATGTGTAGCACAAATACAACTCCTCCTATTACTGTGCTATTGGCCAAGCCTGCACTTTATGTATTTTTTAAATACATATACATTAAAGATTGCACCAATTCTATTTCATGGTGTTCATCGAGTGATGCTGTACTAAATAGGCTTTATTTAATATTGTATTGTATTGCTTTCAGATTGAATGCATTATGATTATGAAGCTGATGATAAGTATTACGTATGTACATGTTCATGTTGTGAGGTATTCGCAGAGGTACTTTTTCTATTTGGAGTGAGTGTGTGGACTAGGCTGTGTGTGCATGGGCATGAGAATTGTTCTAGCTGAGCCAGTATTCTAACTTTTTTGTACTTCATGTGCAGCATTGTTAATGTACAGAGAGTTCCTATGTTTTCTTAAAGAAAAACATCTTTTCTGCAGATTTTAAAGAAGGTGCTCAGCGTAATTGCATTTTAAAACACTTCAACTTAGCACTGTCTCTTTAACAGAGCGATGCAGGTTGTTTGGTTAGGTGTTTTGGTGTTGCCTTGATGTAAGTGTATGATGTGTGAATGACATTTTTACATTACACAGTAGGTACATGCTAATAAAGGCGAGTATGATGATCAGATATGATGACAGATGCATTTCCTCTGTCGGCCTGTATTATTAATATAATAAATTACAGTTTCTGTGACAACAGACTTCTGCCCTCTCCCAACCACAGCATAAACCTGCAATGCAGTAAAAACACTACCAGCATTCAGTATTTTCAAAAAAAGCTGTTAACAGTGTACTACGCTTCACAAAAAGAGGGGCAAACCTGGAGACAAATGAAGCCACCATAATGGATTAATTTATATTCTTATAACTTTAAGAATGTTTAATATTTATATGTTCTTAAAGTGCAAAATAGAATGTTTTAGAAATAAATATGTATATCCTATATATTGTGCAAAATAAATGTTAATATTAATGTTTAATATTTGATTTTTTTTATATAGAAAGCAAGGTTTATGGATACATCAAACATTTTTTAATTAGCTATTCAATTTTAACAATGTACTACACTTTACACGAAAAATGATGCAACAACAGTATATTATAGATAATATAGATCGCAATCTAATAACTTTAAGAATGTTTAATATTTATATATTCTTAAAGTGCAAAATAGATTTTAGAAGTATTTGTTTTAGAAAAAAATAAATATGTATATCCTCATATATAGTGCAAAATAAATGTAAAAACATTTAATTTTTTTATTTATAATTGTTTATTTAATACTATTTTATTTTATTTCTATTATTTTATATAGAAAGAAAGCATGCTTGTAGATACATCACTTTTTTACATTTGTAATTCAATTTTAATGTATTACACTTTTTATTTGTATACACTGTTTTTTTTGCAATTTTTAAAAATATATATTTTTATCTGTACATTTTTCATTAATAATACTATTTTATATAGAAAGCAAGGTTTGTGGATATATCACAGTTTTTTACATTTGTAATAAAAAAAATTATTTCCTCCATTAATTGCTTTTCAAACATTACTACTTGCTAAATAGAAGTTGTGGATTACTAAATCGCAATAACTCAATAACATAAGAGTCAGAGTAAGACCTGAAACCTGTTGTATAATATTTGGGTCAGTTTATCCCACCTGTCATTGTTGTTGCAACATTAACTTTGCTTACAGAGTGAAACCCTTGTTTGTGGGAGATCTGTCCACCATTGCAAAATGTGATCACAGTCCATTGACCCTCAATAGGGAGGCTTTTGGGTCTACAGTGGGGTCATGGGACCACCTTTAGTACAGCACAGCGCTTTGCCACCCAAGCTGAACAGTAACAGACTCTGTATGGCAACCTTCAAACTTCAAAACTGGATGTGATATCAAGGTGTGGGATAGTTTTCATCGATTTTAAAGGCAGTTCCATCTGGAATCAATGCAAATTCTGAGAAAGGTATGTTCAAATCAAGAGTACGAGTGTGAAAATGTAATTTTCTAGATGTTGGAAAAAGGTTTTAGTCATTCATTACTGGGCAAACTGCATTGTGTTTAGTAACAGCGATGAATGATGTCTAGTGAAACGGTAACTACCTCTCAAATCAGGAGAGCGTGGTACTGATGAGAGTCACTGAGCTGGAGCTGAGATCTGGAATATGATGCTGTCACACCGTGTTGGACGAGCGTGTCATGTGCTTGTGCTGGTGTTGTGTCTGTCTGCGGCTGAGGACTTCGGCTGGTCAGCGAACAACCACGACTCCTTCTATTATGGCATTTTTCCAAATGGTATGATGCCACCATTACTAAACGGATTCCTTTCTCAGACATTATGGCCTTTGGGAAATGAATTGATCTGCATGGATATCAATGATGAAAGTTAAATACATTAACTGACAAATAATACTTAACGTGAAAGAATTGTATTCTCTACCGTTTCACTTCATTTGTCAGGATTTTCGTGGGGCGCCGGCAGTTCAGCCTATCAAACAGAAGGAGCCTGGGACAAAGATGGGAAAGGACTGAGCATCTGGGATGTGTTCACTCATAAGAAGGGAAAGACGTTCTTGAATGATACTGGAGACTCTTCATGTGAGGGATACTACAAATTCAAGGTGACCATGCTGGTTTTTGCTATGACATTGAATATGAAATGTCCCAGCTGAAATGCAACAACATTTTTGCTTCATTTTCTCGTATAGGATGATATTTCATTGATAAAAGAGCTGAATCTGAGTCATTATCGGTTTTCCATCTCCTGGCCTAGGATCATGCCAACTGGAATCAGGTGTAAGTATCCATACTGCTGGCTCTAGGTAGGATTTTTATATATTCCCAAAATATTTGACCTCCACTTTTGTGTATTTGCAGCTGACCATGTGAATGAGAAAGGAGTGAAGTACTACAATGCTCTTATTGATGAGCTGCTTGAACACAATATTACTCCCATTGTGACCCTTTATCATTGGGACCTGCCACAGGTGTGTATTCCTGAATATATCCAATAGGCCTACTAATAGCGCTATTTAAAATATTATATTCTGATTTATTTAACCTCTCTAGAACGTTTTGATGAATAGATCTTAAATGGCATATTTTATTTGAACTAAAACAAGGCTGTGAGGCAGCAGACTGTTCAATGGGCTTTAATGCCTTTGACTTTTTGCTCGTTCAGATAACGCAACCTTGTGTAATAAAATTAATAAGGACATAAAACAAAAACTGTGGAAAACGTGTTGTAAAAAAAATAAAACGTGATATCGTGTGTCATATTTACTGCTGCTCGACGAAATGTTCCAAGTGAAATCCAAAAATCCATCGGGAGTTTCACGTGAGAGCGGAAATATTCCCCGCGTAAATTTAGCAACGGTTTTAAGTTGGATGTGGTTTCGCTGCGTTGACCAACAAGTTGCTTGGTTAGAATGTGATTTCTGTATGTGCTGTGCTTTATATATCTCTACATCTCATACATCCCTACATATTAATTTTAATTGCTTTTTTGCCCACATAAAGTCCGAGTTTTGCTAATGTGGCAGCACCTTAAGATAACGAACAGAATTCGCCTGTCCATCACTGCCTCCTTTACATTTTCTAAACAAAAAGAGCCAATTCGATTCATTTTACATTTACTTAACCCTCTCAACAATATTTTTCAACAATATCTCTAAAGATGTGACAAGTAAAAAGATGAATACACGTTTAATGAATTTCATTCATCCACTCTATTGACTGCAGTAATAAGGAAGGTTTTATCATTTATCAATTTGTCTGTACATTTGGACAGGTTTTGCAGGAGAAATATGGTGGATGGCAGAACATCAGTATGATTAATTATTTCAACGACTTTGCCAATCTTTGCTTTGAACGCTATGGGGACCGTGTCAAATACTGGATAACTTTTAATAACCCATGGGTACGCTCACTCTATTCATCTCTAGTTAATAACAGCGAATTAAAGAAATGTGTAAAGGATTAGGTTATTAATGCTCATTGTGTGTCAGTCAGCGGCAGTGGAAGGATATGAAACTGGAGAACATGCTCCAGGACTGAAGCTCAGGGGCACTGGGGCCTACAGAGCAGCTCACCACATCATTAAGGTAACACTTAGCTTCCCTGACATGATATTGTATCATAGTATTTCAGAATGGAGTTACTGTATAATACTGTTTGTGTTGGTTTACTAACAGGCACATGCTAAGGTTTGGCATACTTACGGTACTCAGTGGCGAAACAAACAAAGAGGTATGAGCTTTCCAGTATCTATAAGTTTATTAAAAATCACACCCTCTGAACCCTCTGGCTGCTTTCTTCTCTAGGTATGGTGGGTATTTCACTGTCCGGGGACTGGGGAGAGCCTGTGGACATCACTAACCAGAAGGACATTGAGGCTGCAGAGAGATATGTACAGTTTTACATAGGCTGGTTTGCTACACCCATCTTTCATGGAGATTATCCTCAAGTGATGAAGGATTTCATAGGTACTATTGCTAAGTAGATGTTGAATATGTGAGGTTAAGAATGGTGCAATCCAGCATATTAATAACAATTTTGTATCCAAGGGAGGAAAAGCGCACAGCAGGGTTTGGGAACGTCTCGCCTTCCCATCTTTTCTTCTCAGGAGAAGAGTTACATCAAAGGCACCTCTGATTTCCTAGGTGTGGGGCACTTCACCACACGCTACATAACCCAAAAGAGCTTCCCTTTCAACCGTGGCTCCACCTACTTCTCAGATCGGGATGTAGCAGAGCTGGTCGACCCACGTTGGCCTGATCCTGGTTCGGAGTGGCTCTACTCGGTTCCTTGGGGTTTCCGCCGTCTGCTCAACTTTATAAAGGTGCACAAAGGCTGTCGTTGTTTAAAAGGCACTGTTTCACATCATTTCCTCATGCTGAATCTTTGATCTTGTTTCATAATATATATTTATTAGTAATGTCTTTGTGACAGTGTCATGTCATGAATTGACAACTTTTGACTTGCTCTTTGACTTTCTAAAGACTCAATATGGGAACCCCATGATCTTCATCACTGAGAATGGGGTCTCAGAGAAGATGATGTGCACAGAACTGTGTGATGACTGGAGGATACAGTATTACAAGGGTTACATCAATGAGATGCTCAAAGGTAGCCAGTCCAAAAATGAGTAAAGGGATGGGTCACCCAAAAATGGAAATTCTGTCATCATTTACTCACCCTCGTGTTGTTTAAACTAGTATGACTTACTTTCTTCTGAGGAACACAAAGGATATTTTGAAGAATGTTTAAACAGTTTTTGTCCATATAATGGAAGTCAATGGGGTACAAAACAATATTAGACCCCATTAACTTTCGTTGTATGGACAAAAAACCAACAACACATACATTGAAAGTCATACAGATTTGGAATGACATTATGGTGTGTAAATGATGACAGAATCATCACAAATTATACTGTATTTTATTTGTTGTTAACCTGCAGCTATCAGGGATGGAGTGAATGTAAAGGGCTACACCGCTTGGTCCCTTCTGGACAAGTTTGAGTGGGATGAGGGCTATTCAGAGAGGTTCGGCCTGTACTATGTGGACTTCAGGAACAAAAACAAGCCTCGCTACCCCAAGGCCTCTGTTCAGTTCTACAAACGCATCATTAAGTCTAATGGATTTCCCAATCAGAGAGAGGTACATCTATTTTGTTGAAATAAGTTTACATTGTGAGTTACTAAAAAAAAAAAGAATTAAAGACATAATTACCTAGTCCTAGAGATATATAAAAGTAATATGTTTCTTCTTCTTATGTTTTCGGTTTTAACATAAAATGTCAGTTTTATATTTTGCAACGACTCTAGCTAAACCATAAATACACAAATATATACTGTATATGTATGTATGTATACATATAAAACACAAAATACAATACCTAAAAGACTACAAAACTGCGGAGGGAACCAAATCACATACCACACACTCATAGTTAAATAATAAAAGCCATTTTTAAGGAAAGTGCTGTTTGCTTGCTGATTAAAGGAGTCATATGATGTTGCTAAAAATAACATTATTTGGTGTATTTGGTGTAATGAAATGTGTTTATGCGGTTTAAGGTAAAAAAAA